TGTAATCACTAAGAGTTGGTAATCTAGCAGTTGTGTCAAATAATCTGCTTCTTCGTTGTTAGTGCAGCCCCTTCCTCGCATGACATTTCTGCACTGTGATCACGTAAATACTTACGCTGTTGTAGTTGTGCCAATATTGTTATATAAATAGTATCTCTGTCCACAGTTTCATAGCCTCATAAACCTACTGTATAACGCTCTGCATCATTGGTAGAGGTACTTTTTACGCATACTACAGCTGCCCACTCAACTAATTTACTTTGTAATTTGCTGTATATACATCCCTAACTCCATTGCATGATTACCGCGGAAATACTGTGCGTATCAAGGTTTAGTTACACAAGTTAAAGGCTGGGATTTTGCTTATCGCTGCAACACAGAAGACACACGTGGCAGAGCAGTCACACAACAAAGGAACTTACTTAGCACTCGGTACTTGGGTAACCTTTCCTCACTGGTGTGTCTGCCCCAACATAATTTTCCTTAGTTTCACCTTCGCGTAATCGTCCTTCATGTGGTGGTCTGCTTCGAAAATAGTGACGCCTTCGAGGCGCGTTCCGTAATCTTGGAACCTTTGTCATTTGCGAGTGTAGATGGTTGACGTTAGCTGCGAACCCGTCCGCTCATTGTTTGGGTGGTCTTCCAAGAGGAGTTTGGATTCTCTTGGAGTCAACTTCACTGTTCTTTTCGTCCATCTGTCTCCTTATTATGTGACTGGCCCATCGGTGTTTCACTATCGATGTACATTCTCCTGCATCCCCAAGATGGAGATAAGTTTCGGAGAACCGAGTTGCGCATTCCGGCTAGACGTTGTGAGGAGCTGTTAAATTTCAGAAGACATCGTCCAAGCGCTCTGTTGGTGGTGCGCAGTATTCTTGACGTGGTTGAAGTATCAGTTCACGTTTTTGCTCTATGACAGAGCGCTAGGAGGACTATTGAATCAAAAACGTGAGCGCTGATTTTTTGGTCCGTTGGTTGGTCGGTGGGTTCTCCGAGTGGCACGAATACCGCCTATGCTGCTCTCATTCTTTTGTCCAGTTCTTTCCTCATGTTGTTTTCCGTGATCATGAAACGTCGAAGGTACACGTATGAGGTAGTCTCTGTAATCACAGAGCCGTCCAGTTCAGTTTGTTCGTCTTCGCACTATGAGTTTCTCATAAACAACAACAAAAACTTAATTGTGTAATGTGTAAAGATTAGGAGGGTGCATGTAGCGGAATTGTCAGACTTGCCTTGCATTACGCAAATGGTAATTGTTTGGATTTCGACCTTAGAGCAAACAAAGCCCTCCATTTGCCTGGAGTTGGAAAATTCCTACTAGAGGCTACTATAGTTGTCTTAGACTAGAAGAATATTGCCCTCGCATATCTGCATGCCTCTGCAAGTCACTGCGTTGAATAAATATGCATTCAGCCGCTTTTGTGATCCACGAGAGAATTCACAAAGCGTCAGTAACAGATTGATCAACGCTGAAGATTGTAAACTGCGAATATTGCAAAATTGCAGTCGTTTAAACTGTTTGCAGAGTAAATCACAAGGTTTACTTTTTTATTTACTGTCTATTACAATGTTCACGGCAGCATATTACACAAAATCAACCACAACGGTGCTGAGATATTCGCAAAACTTAGACTCGAGCCAGATCGAACGACGATGTCTCTTTCCGGGGTCTCGCGTCTTACACACTGCGCCCTTGCTCTGAGTTTCTCTCAGCCAGTCGAAATCACAAGGACTGCAGCCTCAGCTTAACTGGGCTAATGCCGATGCGGGCTCCCCAGATCAATCCCATTGACGGGTGATTGCTGATGACACTGGTGAATAGAAAACTAGCTGAGAGAAACACGGAACGAAGGCCTACGTGGCGCAGTGTGTAAAGCGTGAGTCCCCAGAAAGGGGAATCGTGGTTCGATCTGGGCCGAGGTCTAAGTTTTACGAATATCTCAGCATCCTTATGTTTGCAGAATGCTTATAAAAGATTTACTTTTTAAAAGTTACTGTTCCAAGTCGTACTTGTACAATGGTAGATTGGCAGGCTGTAAGAATTGTAGATTGAAATCATTTCGAAAACTCGTAAATCGTGCATTATAGATTAGAAACGCCGGTATAAGACAGATTAACATCGAATGTTTGATAGCTCCTTGTCTCAAGAGTCATCAGCACGTTTTTTCTGTGCTGTTTTTACCACGATTTTGGTGCTATTTGCGATAAATTCAAAAACTATTACAATGTGCTCTGTGAAAATTAAGACCATCAAACGACGTGGGATAACTGAAACGCCGAAACGCTCCCAAGTGGAGAAGAGTTTTACAAAACACAAAAATATTATAGCGTTCAAAGATGACGTATATCGCCCTCCAACTTCAAACACCTGTACCTCAAGCCATAATAAAATCGTACTAACGATCGTATTACATCGATATTAAATTTGTTGATAACAAGGACCATTTGAACTTATATATTTTTGCCAACGCGATCCAACATGTGAGGTTATTCCTCCATCACGGCAAAATTTTATAGTTCTCGAGAATTTTAATCTCTCGAGACCTTTTTTAGCATAGGCTTAGTTGTTGACGATTTTCTCAGCAAATGGGTAGTAAATGGATGGTTCTAAAAGAGCAGCAGTCACTAACTAAAAGATCTATGGAAGGTGTTTAAGGTGAAGTTCTGTATTCTGGTTACTTCAACTTTTGTGGTGTTGGTTGTACAATGAGTAGTGGTAGGGCGTTGCCGTTCAACTGAATTGTTCGCTGTTCGATTGATCAGAGATGGTCGCTGTCAGAGCAGTTCTTCGTGTATTTCGTTATTTTGGCAACAGTTCTTTGCTGCTGTAGTGGTTGTACCACCATGTAAGGATGATGAATGCTTTGATATTCTGGTCAGGAAATAATCTCCCATAACCCATTTTTCACGCTGATTTTAATTCCGAGACTTCTCAGACCAAATTCCGAGGCGATTTGGTGCGTGATCTTTCTCCATTTTTGCCATCCACTATCTTTTCGAGTCCATTTTCGACGTGCGTGACAATGTAATCTGAAAACGTATTGCTTTTTCTTTACTTAGAATGGAGAAAAGTAGACTCCCTAAGTACTACCCCTGCAAGATTTTGCTGCATCCCTACCCGTACTCTTCGAGTTTTTCTATCAACTTTCCAATTTCTTTGAGCTTTCCTCAAACTTCTGCATTTACAAAGCATTAAACCATCGTCGATAAACAGCTCGCTTTAGTAGTCATTTCAAGATTCCAAGCACGAAAACTTCGAAGCCTGCACTTCAATATTCAATTATTACATAAAACACCCTGAATGCATTGATTTCAATGCATTCAGTGCGAAAATGATGCTCGCTTTTGATAGGTCTCAGCTCATTGTGAACTTTCTTAGACGAAGTACAGCGAAACAATCAATACGGTCTGTATGCTTTTTTTGCCAACAAAATGCAGTGCCAATTCTCAGGTCTCTGAGAACCTTAATTCTGAACACAACTAAAGTTGTGCTTTATAAGACAAACAAATGAAGTTGAGGCTGTAGAACAAGGTCTCATCTACGAACTGATGAACTTTCTATTCGCTCAAATATTGAAGTGATGGAGAAATTACCACCAGCTGTCGAAAAACCAACATCGGAAGATAGGTACTGACGAATTTCTCGTCCACTGCCTCAGTTTCCTCTGATAAACAAAATCATTAACTTGGAAATACACGTCTATAATTTAGCGAACTATAAGTAGTTTTTTAACATCACCCAACATCACATGTTCTGCGGATACCAGGTTTAGTCGTTGTTTGGAGACTTTCTCGTCGACATTACAAATGTCGTTGAACGCTGATCAGGTCGATTCTCTCTAAAATCTTAGAATCACCGTATTAGGGAGTTCCCACATGGGCTGGAGGGCTGAGCTGGTTCCAGACAGGTCTGGAACCATTTTAGCAATCTCGCTTAGTTGAATATTGCCCCCAATGCGAAACACTCTCACTGAGTTTTCAGCCTGTTGCTGATACAAAGGCTTAGGTTCGCATTAAAAATTTAAAGCGCCAAAAGTAGAGATGGAAGGACTCACACTGTTTTTCCGAACAATTCGGACAACACATATTCATTTTTCTGCACGGATTTCAAGCTGAGGACTCAAAACAATTTCCGCCATGCCACATACAGAATGCGGAATGACCATTACGATCTTCTAAGGAAGCACTTAGGCCATTGATTCAGTCAGTCTTTCCTGTTTGTCATTGATGATAAGCGAACACCACCTTGGTGCTCGATTTCTCGAATAGCCTTTCATTTTCCAGTAATACTTCATCGAGCTCACGGGGTGCATCACGGCGAAGAGGAGAGGCGAGAGGCATCTGAGACAATTTTCGCGGTGGACGGAGTAGCATAGCAGTTGTATAACCAGACTCTGTCCTGCAATGTAAGAAAGAAGTAGTAGGAAAGTTTGTGATTAAGTTCAACAGAAACACTTGAATAAAATGCGCTACCTAGCGGCAACTTGTCATAATTACCAGTACAATCAATCTCTGAGTGAATATGGAAGTTCTTTTTTAACTGGAAAGCTTTCAGCATGCAGACTGCCTTACATCTGGATTATGGGTGAGCCAAATTATAAGATTTCGATTTTCTGCTTACCTTTCTCAATTGAAACAGCATTACATTACTACCATACTACTGTATATTATTGATGGATACTTTCATGGATTAGTGATCTTCTTGTGTAGCCACTGGGACATGAGTGCAAAGTTACTTAGAATGTCCAATATTCTCTATCACATTACAGTTCGAGAGAGCCCCATGGTGAAGATATGAAGGTTAAATTTGAGAGGCGAGATCAGGTTAAAAGTTTTTGTGTTCGACCCCTTAACTTCATTTGGTGCCTGTTATTTTTAAATTTAGGTGAAAGCATTCGTAGAGGAGACGTTGAAAAAAGGAGTTAATGGATTGATCGCCGAGTTCAAAAGCATGAAACGAAGCAACGATTTCACAGCAATGACTGAATTTGTCGCAAACAATGCGAATGGAAAGAACAGATACAAGGTACGTACGTCAGCAGCTGCCTGAAGATCTATTTCGAGTTTCGTCATCTTTCGGGAATACGTTGGATGAACTCAGCTAAGAACATCCTGGTCTCCTTTCTTCTTTGATGTCTTCTTTGCTGACAATCTCACATGGGGATGAGGTTCTAGTGAGCCCAGTAAAGCTAAACGGGAGGCATTTGCAAACTCGTCAAGTAACATACAAACTACTTTAGGTCAGATTATGAAAAGTCTCATGGTGGGCTAAACAAGTAGCTCTTTATGAGCCTTTGATTATTTTATCGGTTATTTTAAATAGTTAAGTTCCACTATACTAGCCAAATTATTCTATCTGTGTGATGAAGAAAAGCAGAAGTGAGCGAGATCACCTAGGAGCCCAAGAGTTTTAAAGGGTTAAAATTCCACTCATCCTATTTCTGTTATTCTCCTTACTAAGCAAAGCATTGCAGGACCGTATAAAAGGTGCAAATTTCAATAAGGAGAGATGTAGGTGCATATTCCATTCTTTCTGTTGCTCAATTTATGCGAGAGAATATCTGACACTCCTTCGAGTTTATCCTAGCGTGTCTCGAAAAAACATCAACACATCTTATTCCATGTGTCCTGTTTTGCTCATAGTTTAACAGCGTGTGGTTCGAGCTCCGACGAAGATTGAGCGCTACATTCTTTATGAGACTTCTTATGTATGCGGTATGGAAAATATATTTAAAGGATGTCGGATGTTTGGATCACCGTCGTGTTGTTTTGAATATTGGAAGCGTCTCGTACATCCATGCAAATTACGTATCGACGCCAGATAACTCGAAACGATTCATCTGTACTCAGGTAGCGACTGAATAGAAAAATTTCGACTACAGAAGACGCCATATGTCGATTTCTCCGACCGAATTTCTTAGCACCCATTGCTCCAATGTTTCCAGGCTCCCTTACCTTCAACATGCTCGGAGTTCTGGTGTATGGTTGTGCAAGAGAAATCAGCAACGATCTTGATGCTCTGCAACTTCGTCGAACAGGTGGGGGCTTCGCTATGAGAAAGCTGAAAGACCATATCAGATTGAACAAAAAGTATGTTTGAGTTCTCACTATGGCCGTTGATGTGAGGTTTAGGATGGTCTAGTGGAGCAGAACTTATCTGCGAAAAGCTCTTGAAAAATTTACTGCAGTTTTGCATAAAGTGCTCTGCTAAGCAATTACTCTGATAGCCAACGATAGCATGCGTAATTCAGAAAGTAATATATCATCTTCAGTAAGCAGTCGTAGAAATATCTGAGGGTCCGTTTTTTGAATGCAACAATTCTTGTAAACCTAAAATTGTTGGGGAAGTCAAAAATTTGAAGACTGGTGTTCCATGACCTCACTAATGCACATTGCAGGGGCAGAATCCTCCACTATCTCCTTAATCACTACAGCTAGTACTGACCCCACGCCGATTGCCTTGAAAATCCAGATAAACAACCCAAGCACTGTAGAATACTTTAAAAGATATGGATGTATTTTCACAGCCAAAATTACTGAAATACCGAACATTTGAAGCAAATATTAATTCGCAAGTAGTTAGATCAGATTTTCATGGATAGCATTTTTTTTTCTGGCGCTTATATCAAAGGCAATTTGAACCGGTGAAAAGAATGTTATCTAAAAACCGCTCTCAACTAATGGTGAGCACGTGTGTACTCCACTTCTTTAAATAGCTACAGTTCTGAAACTTCTGAATCATAACATTTCAATTTTTATTTGGTGCATATTATTTTTTCATTAAAGGGTACTATTGGATATACAGTCACAAGGATGGTGAGATATTAGCAAAACTCGGAGCCCCAGGTGAGTTTCAAACACGCGATAGCCCTTTGAGGAAGCTCACATGATACCCAACACACCAATCCAGACCTTTACTTCGCCTTTCCTCAGTTGGTTTTGTACCAAAACGATGCTATCAGCAATCACCCGTCAATAGGAATGATGTGGAAAGCACAATCCGGCAATCAGCCCAGTTTTTATGATACTGAAGTCGAAATCAGAATGTTTTAACTTTTATTTGCTCCTCCATTTACTGTCATTGCCATTGGCGGGCGTTGCTGATAGCACCGATAGAGTAAAAACGTGGTTGAGAGGAAGACTAAACAAGGGCTACGGTTTGTTTACTGGATAGCACTTGAGGTCTCGATAAGGGTAGTCGAGGGTTCGAAGCCCACCTGAGCTTTCGAGTTTTGCTCATATCTCAGCACCTTGTGGTTGGACTTCAGAATCACATTTTATTATATGAAGAGTTGTATACATCCCTACTTCGAAACGTTTATGAAAAGGTTCTCATTTTTTGTCTATAAAAACACATCAGCGTTTAATTGTGCTGCACTGGCATTAAAGCCTTAATAGGTTGTTACGTCGTATTTGGTGATAGTTATATGATTTTTTTGCTCTACGTTAACACCGGCTTGTTTCATGTTATGCATTTCGTGGTGGTCAGTTTATTTACTATCCATAGTTAGGCCCCAAGAATATTGGATAGAGTAGAATGGAGTGCGTAGGTATTTGCACTCAGCTACTTACATGCGTTACATGCGCGAGACGTAAGGCTCAAAAATCGAGAAGATCGTCTCCTGAATCCAACTGCGCATCGTAGCTGGGTAGCTGCCTTCAATCATTATTTATGCCTCAACGCACTTACTAGTTTCTTGGTTGACTAGATGTTATTCCACAAATGTATTTGTAATGAATTAGGCTTGCTCTTCAGTTAAATGCAATACGTTTCCTGAAAACGAGCTTGAAGTATTCCAACAGTGCGCTTGTGCAGTACATCAAACTGTTACATATATAGTACCTCTAAATTCTTATCAATAAGCTGATGACGTGAGTAGCGCCAAACCACTCAAGCTTACAACTTTGATTTCTTCCGTATCTATTTTTATGCGACCACAGTTCAAGAATACAAGTGCTTCCAGTCGGCGGTTAATCCCCACCTATAGCAAGTGGATCTCCCTCATATGAGGGATCCCGATAGCAGGTTAGTCGTGAGGCTACGTGGCGCTTCCCAAGGTGGCGGATAAGGGGTTAATCGCGGACCAAAAGCGACCTATGCTTCCCTGAGACGAAGGTGGATCCATGGCACATACTTTCCGTATTTGCTAGGCGTATTCATGTATGCGTGTGTGAGTGCGCTCTCACTTATGCGGATTGTATTCTGCGAGTCAATTCGGCCAAAAGCCTGCAATTAGCCGACAGGGAAGTATATGGGAGGCGGTTAGGAGTCGCCTCCAACGAATAAGCTCCATGTCCACTTTGGAAGAGCCTGGCAAGTTACCCGTGAGTATAGCCAGCCTCACGTTCAGAGCGCAGAAAGCTATACGTGGGTATCGAAAAGCTAAAAGCAGTAAAAGAAACGGGCCTCATCCCCTGACCCCGAAAGAGCCTCCAATTCGGCAGCGTAGGGTAGGGCGAATACCGAAAGGCTGCTAAAATCTCAGGGCCAATGGAAGTTACCTGGATAACGAAGAACTAAGGTCTGTACCTATAATGCACGTACACTTGCATCCGAGTCTTCGATAGAAGACTTGTACGTGCAAGCAAGAAGGAAAATGTACGACGTTATCGGCCTGGTTGAGACGAGAAGATGCCACCCTTTCAGCGCCGTCTATAACACCAGAGAAGAACTGTTCCTCGGAACATGCGACAGTAGAGGAGTCGGCAGTGTCGGCTTTCTCGTCAACACGAGTTTGCTCATGAACATCGATTCATCCAAACAGCTTACAGCCCGAATCGGACGTTTACGATTAAAAATGTGTGGATCAATACCGGCTTTGACAATCTTCGTCGCCTATGCGCCAACATCAAACTGTGACGAAGAAGAAGTCGAAGCGTTCTATATGGACTTGGAGAAGTTATGCAGAAAAGACCACACATTTTTCAAAGTTATCATTGGAGATGAATGTGTCGTTTTCTTGCTCAGCAATCGCGAGGTTTTTAAACAGCATACATTTACTTCCATAAAAAAACACAATACA